CACAAGAGCCAACAGACACAAGCTGCAACAAGATATTCCAAAAAGATGTTATGAAAAATATTTCTTCACAGTGGTGGCAAACACAGGAACAGGCTGTCCATCCATACATCTCCATCTTTAGGGATATCTCAAACTCAGCTGGACAAAACCCCAAGCAACACGAACTAGACTGATCCTTTTGCAGAGGCAATTGGACCAGATGACCTTCAGAGGTCCCTTCCAACCTAAGTACTCCATGATTCAAGGACATGTCTCCGGACATCCTCCACAAGAGTAACTTTTTTTCTCCATGTATAGTCTGTGCTCCATTTTACTACTCACTACTTTTCCTACACCAAAGCTAGACCCTCTTTAACTTTTTTATTCTTGCCGTAATGTTTCTTTCATACCTCCATAGCATCTTCAGTTATTTCAATTGCTCCAATACCCATTCAGAATCAACATCATTTGTAACTTCTATACAAACATCTGCTAAAGCTTCAGATACTTCTATATTATCCTGTATTCCTTTTTCCAGTAGAAATTCCTCAATAATTTACATAGATGTCAGAATTCCTCTTCTGGATCAACACTGAAATACTTTTGGCACATCAGCTGGCAAAATGCAGCAACTGAACATTTGAGTACTTCAATCTGATTTTACTTAATCAGAATAAAATTCACTTAAAGCATCATTGAACATTCTGGTCCCTGCATCCACAACTACATACCTCTTCTTCCACAATGACTTCAATGAAAAGAGTGCATAAGCAGACCCTTCAACAGCGTTGAAACCAGCTCATTCTTTGCATGATGTCATTTGGCTACAGAATCATTTTCAACTTCTCGTCTTTCTGGTTTCAGAGACAAAGCTTTAGAAATAGTCAAGGACTGTTCCCAAATTGAGTCTAGTGAATAGCTTGCTGATTCTACTTTAGAAATCATGGTGTTAAATCTCTTCAAGACTGAGAAGTGAAGAAAACTGGATGTCTCAAATTACTTTGGCAAGTCTTGTTGTAATCTGTAAGTTATGTATAAGCTACAAGGAAGCATCCCTTCTCTTCATGGTTATGAGAACAAAAGCAGTTACTTTGCTGTCCTTTGTATCAGAATTCATGCCGTTACTAAGAGACACTGAGATACACGGTGCTCTCTACTTAAATGTTTAAGCATTCATGCAAATTTCTGTAAACCACTCACTTAAACAAAGACAAAATTCAGTTCCATGTTGTCTTTTAGACACCTACTTGCTGTTCTAAATAAAATCTTTAGTGTCTCCACTTCCTTTGAAAAATTAAGATGATGGCACACTTTTATCACCCATGTGAGATGAGAGAGATTTCAAAATTAAAAAAAAAAAAAAAAAAAAAAGATTAAGCAGTAAGATCCACCTGTAAATAAAATTAAATTTGTCCCTGCAGGCTCTAGTCTTTTAATCATACACACCCCACCACCACTCACACACACCCCCCCCTCTTTTGGTATAAGAGTATACTTCACTGATTTTTCAACTGTAGTAGTAATTCTCTACTATTAGATTTTGTCAAAACAGTGTATTCAGTCCATTCAGTTAAACTTTGAAAGGATATTAGTCTTGTTAAGTCTAATGTTCTCGCTGTCTGTGGAGATTCACAATCCTCTCCTGAGTCATTAACATGTTTGGCCTGAACATCATCTTGTCTCCCACATTTTACTGTTTTATTACACATAGGAAACAGTATTTCCTCCAGTGGCTTTTAAACCTTCCAACTTATAAATTGACATTCTTGGGATGGAGAACAATTCTCCTAACATTATAAAGGCACCACAATTATCTTTTAGATTTATTCTAATAGATTCAAGCAAAAAAGTCTATCATCTGTGAGGTATTCTTGCTTTTTTTATCCTTGTAGAACATTCTTAAGTATCAACAGTAATATACTGTAATACTCAACTCAGAAATACCGCTAAAGCATAAAAAGTTTGCTTTGACAAAAACTGAATGAAGTTCTTTGTTAAGGTAAAAAAAAATAAAAATAGATAATACACACCAAAGCATACCAAAAAAAAAAAAAAGATAAATTAGAGAATGCCATGAACTATATTATATAGAAATATTGAAGTGAAATTTGTAGAGCAAACTAAAAATATAATAATGCCTTTGCAATTTGAATCATTGCACCCTTTTGGCTCCCCCAAAAGTACCAAGTCTCTGATACCAATCAAGGAGTGGGAAGAAAAAAAAAAAAGTGTCAAAAAATAACAGTGGAAATATAAGCATTTTATATATGAGGCAGAATAACTTAAACTACTAGTGAGACAATGTACTTCCAGAAAGGGAGAAAAGGTTTAAAGCCAGGAACACTTTGAAATATTTTGCTCTTCCTCAAGGCTTTAAAAGCTGAAGAAGCTGAGCAAAATATCAAAGGAGATCTAATATTGCTACAGGTTTATCAGGAAGTAAAAAATTTCATTAAAAGACCCTCCTTCATGGAACCAAAACACACAATTACCATATGCATTCTGAGGGTAAATACATCATCTTCTAGACTCTAGATTAGGTCATAGTATTTTATTAAGGTATTCTAACAAAGTTTTATAAATATTTTTTTCAAATGTGACTGAATAGAAGTTTGTATTATCCAGAAGCATTTCTTGGGTTTTTTTCATAAGGTTTTCCTTACAGGTCACACAACATGTGTCACATTTTAAGTAAAATAGTTCAATATTACTGCTTCAAGCAGTCCAGGATTTATCTCTAAAAGCTGAAAATTAAAACAATCACTTACCCCTTTTCTGACAACAAAACGTAAGTTCCAATTTGCAAAGCAAGTCAGCATTCTCATACTTGTCCTCTTCTGCCTTAACCCAGAAACAGGATTCTGTCATTTCCTGAGGCCTGATCTGCAAGTAAGAGATTAAAAAAATATATATTAATTAAATTATGTTGATATTATGCAGAGACTGTGCTCTGTAGACTCTAAAGGAAACAAAATATGTAACAGCTCTGTAAAACACATGAACTTTTGGTATATAACTCATCTTTAGAATTGTTAATGTATTTCTGATTTGAAGATAATAATGCTTATGGTAAGTGCTTTTGGACAAACTCTAACCATATACAGTAATACAGACCACACACTCTTATCTGAGGTCTAAATGTAGCAAATTATCTTTGGTCTAGATTTAAAACCTGGGTAAACTTTAAACAGTCTCTGAACACAGCTGGTTTAACTAGATACACGAAGTACTTGACTTTTTAGATTGTAGCTTTGATTGCTTCATAAAACTCTGAAAATCTTTTTACTGATTTATTTTGGCCTACAGAATCATAGTTTCCAAAACTGACTAGATTGATAGTCTTGGTATACTTGATCCTGTCACAATTAAGAATAAAAAACAAAACAAAAACAACCACACCAAAAACCAGGCTCTTACATTTTTTCAACAATTAAATTTACGTAAGTACATTTACACTAAGGACAAATGGAGAGACCTGCAATGCTTCTTCCCACAGCCCAGGCTAGACAGATGCAAGACACTTGTTTGGAAACTGTCTAGCTATCAGTACAGTACAGTGACTGACTTCCAGTTTACTAAAAGACAGGGCAGAGCAGGACCCAGAAAGCATGCTGGTATCAAGGTGGTTTTATTCTAGACCAGAACAGATTTTTCCAGGCATCTCAGAAAGTCAACAGATACTTTCCCAGACAATTCATGAGTCAATGAAATGCAGTTTTCAGAAAACAATGAAAATCAAAGGCAGAAAGTATTCATATCTTACATAATTTTAACTAATGCATCCAATGCTCTATACAGTCTTACTCCTGACAATCTATTTACCCCAAGCTCTATGTAAGATTTTACTTCAAGTATTTGCCATTAATCAGTACTACCTTGGACCAGTTGAGTCTTTTCATGGTAACCTCAGGTCTGAATTCCTTTTTAGGCTTCATTCCAAATGGCAAAGCATATGAAGGTGGAGACCACTGTGCTCCAGGTAGGCCTGGTAAAGGCGGTGGTGGAGGAGCACCACCAAAAGCCAGAGGAATTCCCAAGCCATTCAAAAGTGGTGGAGGAGGAGGGGGAGGTGGCGGTGGTGGAATCGTTCCATTAGAAGGCAGTGGCGGAGGAGGCGGTGGCGGAAGTTGACATGGTCCTGCAGCTTCCAGTGGACCAACAGATGCATCTCCACGTGTTGATGGCAGAAAACCAGGTGGCAAGGAGCCATACTGATAGGGAAAAGAGTCTTACTCAGTTTCAAATTTTTATCAACAAAATGCTGTAACAGTTATTGTTTATAGATTAAATCCAGCAAACCAGTTGAAAGTCAGTGCCATTTTTCTTGTACAGGGCAGTCAAATATAGATTATGATGAGGCCAACATGCTTTTGATTTCATAACTGGAAGTCTCAACATTTGAAGCGGACATTCAGACTACGGGGTGTGCACCAAAACTGACAAACTGAAATGCTATATATCCCACTTGTCATATTTCACTGATCATTATCTAAGAAGGGTCTGATAGGTATCTCGATGAAATTTTATCTAGACTATCACAGTTTAGCTCAAATTAAAAAAATAATATCCCTGTCTCTGGTGTTCTTATTCCACAGATGACAGAGAAATACTCCAAGGACATAATAGCAGAATCTGAAGAGATTAGTAAGTCTGTTGAAAACAGATATTTTCCAATATAGGAGCATTCACATTCTGCAGAACTGAAAGCACAAAGTAATGATGAAAAATATTCCTTCCAAAAAAATACAGCTGCTTTACACACTGACTTCTTATTCTACACAGTAACAACATTACACAGTATCAAGTCAGGCTTATTAGCACTTCAGTAAGTCTAAAACAATATATTTATTTCCATTATTTGAAGAACTTCTACCACAGGCCTTCAAACATTAATAAAAAGGTACCTGACAGAAAGAACAAAAGAATAAATATGAAATACTTATCTACTGGTGATACTACTAATCAATTTTTCAACTGATAATTATGAGCTGAAACAGTCCATTTCGTTTTTAAAAAATGGAATGAAATACAATAAGCAAAGTATTTAATATTTTTAAAAGGGAAGAGCTGATTATCAATAAATACAAATAAACACATTCACAACAGTATTGCTGTTTTGAATTTCTAAACATACACATTGTTTACATTGACAAATAGACACTGAACAATTAGGCTCTAATAACAAAAGAAATACAAGAACAAACATCAAATACCAAAAAAAGAATAAAGGAAAAAGACCAGGAGCAAAATAGTCTTAAGAGGTGGAAGCAGCCATGGTAAGTAGCAAATGATGCCGTATGGAAACCAAAGATTCCTCTTAAGATGGATTTAAGAGTACTAAGTTTCAGTAATCAATTACTTGATATTTACAAAGCATTCCAAGTATTCCATTAACGGTGCGATAATTCATGGTATGACAATTAGTGACCATAATCATATGCTATGCTCACTATCAGCATGTAAATAGTTATATTTAATACACTGAACAAGAGAAAAATTAAAATAGGAGAGAAAACCTATTTCACTCACAAAAAGTATTAAAGTATGTTTTCAAGATATACACATAAAACTACTTTCTTCATGAATGATATACAGCTCTCACTAAATTTTTTTTAGAATGCAACAATTCTTGTAATTGCTTTTTTAAAAATCTGTTTGACTTCAACATTAACAGTTAATTCTGACCAGAAACCTGAAGTACAATGATATTCTTAAGCAGAGCAAAGCAGAGCTAAACTGATTTTCCTCACTAAGGAAAATAAACAAGCTCAAAAGTATTAAAAAAACCCCCTCTATGATAAAAACATATATTTTATAACCTTCCTATATGCATGTCATCCTGAAGCTGTCTTTCATTAGCCATTTTTAGACCGGGCTTCTTATTCCAGGAAATAAGACACAGGAAAGATCACTTGGTCACATAGGCTCCTGACAGATTTTAGAGCTGAAGCAGTTACAAGTTAACTCAAGTATTACTCTCAAAAATCTACGCTATTCCTCTCCATCACATCTTAAAATATCTATTTATGTTTGAAAATTGAAAAATTATCAGGAAATGTTCTTATCCAGCCACAGGTTATTTCTTTCACTGCTGGATATCCATGGTAAAGCTTCAGCAAAGCAAACTGTGTAATGAATAATTTCCCGTGGAGGGATAAAGATCACAGTGCTGAATGCTAATCTAAAAGCACAAAACTTATTACCCTGTGTGGTTAATTACTTTGGAAATATATGACACTGAAAGCAAAACCCAAAAGAAACATAAGAAACTAGTTTAAATTAACAGAGCTCAGGCACAAAAAGGATCATCTAGGAACTCAAATGGCTAATTAGTGTGACACTACAATTCTTCGTATGAAACAAAAATAAAGGAAACTAACAGTCAATAATAATGGATAACAAGGATTCTTTGGGAAAAAACCCTCAACTGCACTATCTGAATCTGCAAAAGACGTAAAATGAAGTCCCTTTCAATACTTTATACATTCATTTAAAGTCTCTTATACCTGTGATTTAAAAGCTTGCAGTTCTGCTTCAAGTTCATTGATTCTTTCTTCTTTTTTCTGCAGTAGGGCCTGGGTCTCCTGATGAACTACAAAATCTTTTTCAAACTAAGAAAAAAGAAAAAGGAAAAAAAAAGAAAATTGTTGATACTAGCCAGTTCTGCACAGTTTCTTTAGAGTCCAAGTTTCGTGTTTGTTAAAACTCACGTTAACAATACTAAGGACACGTACAACATATCTGCTATTCAAATTTCCATGTATCCACTGAGTGGAATTACTATCACTGTTACCACTACAAGTCTTTACTTTGTGAAATGGCATAAAGTACTTAATGTAGTTTAAGTTGGAATCAGACAGAGTCGCTTAAAAAATTGATGATACAGACTCTGTAGATAAAAGTGAGTCAATTCTTATTCTTCCACTGTTTATCTTGTTGAAGAAACTGATAACTGTTCAAATAAAGTATTCAGCTGATTTTTGGGAGATCTGTACACGAAACCTTAAATAAATAGTAGAAAGACTCTCAAGGTTAACTACTTTACACCACTTTTCTCTGCTTCCTAGTCCACAAGAAACATCCAAATTCCCACTTAAATACAGAACTAATAGTAATTTGAAGTAAAAAACTATGCCATATTTAGTTACATCATTCATGAAGCTATTAAGTAATCCCCTGTGTCCACCTTATGATCACATAACATAAAAATTACTCACTTTTCTGGAAAGTTCAGAAGCCCTCTCTTCACATTCTTCTAATCTTGCCTTATCTACACAAATATCTTGAAAAAATAAACAAACACACTTGCACATATACAGGGAACACAAGATTCTTAATCACATGTATAACTTTAACTTGGGTTTTGGAACATACAAATAAGTATACCACTGTAATCATTTCCAAACACAGTACTTACCTACTAAGTGGCTGAAATTTATATCTAATCTTTTACGATACGTGAAATCCGGGTCTGTTCCACTTCTATGCAACACTATCTGGGACACACACTCTTCAATTAATTTGAAATACTGTGGACTAAAGACAGAAATTAGTTCTTTTACAGCATATTTACTTATCAATGTATACTTAAAATCTTGTCTATGAACACAGTAAAGTCAAAAGATTTGGGCTGACTTATTTCCATAGAAGGGTAGGTGCGAACCCCGGAAGTCTCAAAGGACAAATACATCTGGCAGTTTATTACACAAGAACGGTTTACACAAAGCCTGAAAAAACAGCGGACCCAGAGATAAATAATTCTTTATAATATAAACTCTGCACCTTTCACCCTATGGAAATACTTCCTTCAGTTTTGATCCCTTCTGGTTTTGTGACTTTTGTAATTGTGGATGCTTGCCCAGAATATGTAATCTGTGAATTCAAACCCTTTCAGGTGGAAGAGGTCTAGCACAGGTGTACCCATTTCAGGTAAGAACTTTTGACCTTTAAGGGTACATCTGTGCTAGACCTTGTGTGAAATGCAAGGTTATGCAGAATGCTATGCAGAAAACAGATGGCTTTCCCTCCCTGTTCAGATCATATCTGGTTCCTCCAGTGTTTCCTCAAAACCAACACAAGCAGATCTTAGAAATGAAAGTATTTGGTAGCTTCAAATATCTAAGATTTTTTAACTATTTCCATGTAATTTTCCAAGAGACACTAATATGTTCACACCAACCTATACTGTATATTGAGAATACTCAATTCCCAACCAAAAGTTACTCTAAATTAAGCATATGTTCATATTTCTGTATAAAGTGCACTTCTGTGCATACTTGGTTTTGTCCTTTGACTCAAAGACACCACCAAACTATAATGCTACTACCATGATTTATAACTGATTATGAGATCTGCAGTCAATAAGGTTCAGATCTCAACAAAAATAATTTTCTATATTTATATATAAAATTGTATCCTCAGCAGAAGAGACAAAAACATATAGATAGCATTCTTATTCAAAGCTAATACTTCTGCATATGAGTTGACAAAGGAATACTTACGAATTGGAGTCCACACAGAAAAAGAATAAATTGTATTTACCATTAAATTTATGGAAGAAATATTCTATTAATGACTAAATGAAAGCAAAATCCATAATTAACATTTAACATAGTATTAAACATACCGTATAAAATAATCATTTCTTATCAGCAGAAGATGTTGGAGAATAGAAAGAAAATATCCTTCAGCGTTAGTGTCCTTAACTGTATTCCACACCATGTTGTAGACGTCATTTACTTCAGTATAAGTGTTAAGGGAAAAAATATTTCAGTCAAATGTTGGCTGATAACTTTTCTAAACAGAAATCATACCAGAAAAATGTCCATTATACACTTTATTTTGTTCATCTTCCTCTTGCTGATATCAAAAGGATATTCTAGTTCAGATCTAATATCTTCTAAACGATGAGAGAATTCGATCATGTCTTCTTCCTTATGCTCATTGAACACTTTCAGCTGAATATCTAGTGCTTCATTCTTTATGCATTTCAATTGCTGCAAAGAAGAAACAGTAGAAAGGCTTGAAAAATCAGCATCTCCATATGTAAATAAACCTTATGTTTTTAATAACTTCCATTAGTCTATGTCGTTTTAAAGTTTAAAATTACAAGAACACATGAGTTAAGTTAAATATTCAAAAGGTAAACATGGCTTCAGCCTGGCTTAGCAAGTGTCTGCACAACAGTCTGTCACATGTTCTAAATCAAAGTCCTAAAATGCTGAGGAATCAGCGTAAGGTTCAGAGAGCACACTTCACCTTTTCATTCTTATTTCAAGACTGATTCTCATATCTAACTGCTCATGCTCAGACTTAATAAAATGCCTTTGAGAATAATTTATAGGAACTTGTTCTCCCACCCTCCCTCTCAAGCTCAAACAGTCCAAGAATTTAAATAGTAATGCAAAGAGAGACTACAGGACACTTACTGGCAATATCTCTTTCAATCCACTGCGCATAAATTCATTTCTGATGTGAAGCCTAAAATCCAAGTCATCAGGAGATGTAACGAGAGCATTGATGAGCTGCATGCAAGCTACCTGCAACAGAGGAAATATTGAACTATTTTATTTCTTAGATTTCAATTTTCATCACAGTCAAAGAGACATAATGAACTACTAATTAGACATTACATCATGTCTAATTATCAATCTACTGTAATCTCATAATTAAGATACTTAAATTTCTTATCAGCCACTGGTTCACAAATTGCCATAAAAATATTTTCTCACTACATTGAATTTTGTCATTTTATATAGCAAGTTCCTTTAGCAAATGAAATTTAGCACATCGTAAGTATCTTGATCAGCGTATTTCTCAACATATGAAAATCAATGTAAATATATATTTATCTATACATATATATAAAAAGTTAGTGACCTAATAGAAATGTTAAAGGCTAAAGTCTGTGTGAACAGTGGAAAACATATTAGAAGTCAAAATGCTGATTAAACTAAACTGAGCCTGAATGGGCTTTTTTCCTTTCTTTTTGAAAATCTTCCTCTTTAAACATATTGAGTGTCATAGAATACTTCATGGGAACCAGAACTTCATCTCAAAAGCAAGCACAGGTCAACTAGTGAGTAGTCTCTCTTCTGAAGAATCAAGAGATTCATCTTGAAAACTCATAGCCAGGAGCAGCAGGAACTCACTATCCAGATTCACAAGCCTTTAGAACAATGGCAATTTATTATCAGTCTTAAATAGGGATGACTACAGCCATGGTTTCCTTCTTTTATCCTCTTTATTGTTTGCACATCTTGCTTCAATGTACAGGAAATGTGTTGTTCATGTATTTCCAGTATTTAAGGGTTTTTTAAAGCACAAGTCAATTAGGGTATGTCTTCTGGCCTAATAAAATATGTAAAGAAGTAAAGCTATCTGTTTCAAATACTTTCCCTGTTGTCAAGCCATTTATAGTCTAGAAAAATGATGATGTATTATGCTGTGGTCAAGCAAAAGGTGATAGCCGGAATATAATGTATCAGTCATCTTCAAAGTAGACATAATTCCAAGTACTGAATTTACATATGGCCAAAGAAGAACTGGATAGCCAAGCTATCTTGATACAGGCTGTAAGAAACAACAGCACTCATTAGGTTTTTGAGAGGAACACACTAAGATCAAATAATAACACAGACTACAACCATGATCCTACATTTATCCTACTGAACAGAATCTAAGTATGAAAGTAGTTTTATATAACACTTTATCTGAACTGTTATGGGGGTGCACGGCAGTCAGCATAATTTAGGCCTACCTGACAGCAATCACAGCATATGTAGTTGAACTTTGGTCTATACTATAGGAGAAGGGAATAGCTTAGTTATAAGAAGAGAGATGTAGCAAGTGTAAACAACTTGTTAATTGATGTGAGAGCTGTGAACCTGTTCAGAAAATCAAGTCAAGCAGACTATGAGCTCCAGCAGGTTGTTAGGCACCCAGTGTTAGAATGACCCAATTAAGCACAGGCATTCCCACCCAGTCCCATAAATGGTGGCATTTAGAACCTCAAAGGCCCCACAGCTCTGTGCCAGGAGTTGGGACCATCTCTCCGACTTCTGGAGATGCCCAAGAGGACAAGGATGTGCAAGGGAGAAAGCTATAGCATGGTGTGGTTGGAATCACTGTACTAACCCATACAACACCTCTGCTGGAGAAAAGCTGCTACTATGACAGCATTTATTCTTATCTTACTCCATCATACAACATACCTTGCATCAACAATAACTTTAAAACTAACAGGAAGGAACAAGCTTTACACCTTCCTCTTACTTGAATTAAGAGCTGAAATTAAGTTCTGTTCCCTCAGAACTCCTATGGAACTCAGTACATGCGAATATCTATTATATTTGCATAATAATAAAAAACCAGAAAACTATTGCTTTTACTTCATTGGCATCAATAGGACAAAGCACACTAAATTAAATTAAGTCAACTGTTTGTTTCTTAATGCCAAAGTATCACTCTACACTAGGTAACAGAAAGTGGTGCTAACCCCAAAAAAGAAAACTACAAATACCGAAAAATAAACACAAAGAAAATCCTTAGACTTCACTACATCCAAATGCCACAGAACAAAAAAAAAAAAAAATTTAAAACGACCTAAGCTGCCTAGTCCACTTTTCAAAAGCGGACTGAATAAAAACTTCCAGTAATTGTCTTAACAGCACCCAATGGAGAAGAAATTAGGACCCTCCTGTTGCACAACCAAGTATTTTTGGACACTGAAAAAAGCTCCTCATATTCAGTATTTGTCCATCATGTCCTTTACAATCTTGTTCAGAACGTGTGGCCCTGTAGCTCAGTTATTTTTGCTGGTAACAGGCTACGGGCTTAGCATTAAGCTAACACCACATACTTCCAGAGTCGTCAGGCTTTCTCGAGACTTGGCTTGCCTGCCTGGAGCTCTGCTTTGGGATATTTAGATGTAACAGGATTTGTTTAGTAGCAGAATGACTACCACCCCAATAGTTTTAGATTCTGCATAGCCTTCTACAAGTTTGTGGCACAAAGTTTACTGTTACATACATCTGCATAACTAGCAGATAGCAGTATGACCCTAACTAAAACACAGCACAGACAAGTAGAGGCATGGGATGCAAGCACAGATGTGTGTTCACACTACTGAGAGTAATTTGACAAGATCATTAAGACTTCATTTAGACTAATGACAAATTCTTGGCTTTGAATATAAGCTGTATTCTTTAGGCCCACAAACTGCACAAGTTACAACGTCACAACGTGGTGAAGAATCTGATCAGCCTCATTTGCAATTTGGACATAACAAATGCTATAAAATGCAGGCAACCAAACAAGTTAAAATTTATTGCAACAATACCTTACAGAACATATTATCTTCTTATCTATGTATGGGCTGTATCCTTTATTCTTAAACATTTTTGTATTTGTTTTGGTATGGGTCCATTTTACCAAACCATCCACTTTATCGGTATTTGTATTCTTCTTCAGCAGCCATGATGAAAATTTTTACTTCCCCTAATTTTGCATTTATTTCATGGAAACCTGTTATACCATCACTGATTTATCTCTCCGGAGCTCTGAGTCTTTCATTCAATTGCATTTTCCTGATTCAATTAGCTCTGCCATCCAAAACCAGTAATTCAGTACATTGACAGATGCCACCACACCTGTACTCCTGTTAACATCAGCAAGGGATTTCAATGATTGTAGACTTCATTGGACAGCACTATTATACAGTCAGTAATAAAGTACAGTACTGCAAGGTTACATATATATTTCAAATAAAGTCAAACTCCATGTTGTTTGATTACACCAGAATTAGAACCTTTGTCACTGTAATCAGCACTTTCAAACACGGTATATTTTCATGCAAAACTTCAGGTGAATGGACTGCTAAGCAAGGAAACAGCGTCTATCACACTTGATTTAAACTATCAATGAAGAGGCAATCAGAGACTGAACAACATACGCTACTGTGAAAATCCTGATCAAGAGCAAACTACACTTTTATCTTTGAGAAAGCAATGCAATCTAGATGAAAAGATGTCTACAGGTGTAACTGCTCAAAAAAAAAAAAAAAGACGGTATTTTCTTTTAATTTATCAAATCGACAAGGTGCATGTGCACAAGTGCTATTCAAAAAGAACAGATAAGATAAAACAATTAAAAGTAAGAAACACATCAGTAAAAACGTACTGCTTTCTAGTACTTTAGTCAAATTTGATCAAGTTGGAATTCAATTGCAGTTCATAACCAGAACATACTTTAGCTTTCCTGGAATAAACAAGACAAAGATCTACTGGACTACGCTGGCAAACTACCTCTATAGTATCACAGAATCACAGAATGTTAGGGGTTGGAAGGGACCTTGAAAGTTCATCTAGTCCAACTCCCCTGGCAGAGCAGGACCACCTAGAGTAGGTCACACAGGAACACGTCCAGGCGGGTTTTGAATGTCACCAGAGAAGGAGACTTCACAACCTCTCTAGGCAGCCTATTCCAGTGCTCTGTCACCCTCACAGTGAAAAAGTTTTTCCTTATGTTAATGTGGAATCTACATTAACAGTACATTAACAGTAATACTACAAAGAAAAAGAATAGTGAAAGTTACAAACAGAAGTCTACAAAAAGCAGAATTAGAAAAGGTTATGCAAGAAGAAACAAACACAACTCTAAGCAAGACATTCCTTCGACATCTACATTTGAGGACCTACATCTACAATTTTGGACCTGCCTCTGGCCAAGGCCAAGC